ATACGCAGAAGATTGGCATCTTTGAGAGCTTCTACGTACACTTAATCAATGCTCACTGCTCAGTCGTATCGATAGTTATATATCACGCTAAATGGAAACAGGACACTTCGCATTTTGGAATTTGCTCTCCATCTTCATACCATATCGCATGCAGAGCAGTATTGGGAATATTGGGATTGCCACCAGTGGATCCATCTTGGCTTTTTAATACGGTCCACACTGGAAAGAAAAACTCATAGGATCTAGAGTCCAGACTCTTGAAAACATCGACAAGAAAAAGGACTCTTGATTCAATCAGATTTAAGCTTAAATCAAAAGGAAATCCGCTCAAATTAAGAGGCTTGGTTCTTGATTTAAGCTTAAATTTGATTGAAACAAGAGTATTTTTTCTTGTCGATGTTTTTAAGAGTCTGGACTTATGTAGATCCAATGTGTTTTTTTTCCTGTGTATCACGGGTTCGTGGAGACACAGCTGCTAAAATACTCGAATCATAGTCGGAAAAATAAAATGCGAGGACATATCGATGGTAAAAGTGCTTTACCACGTACCTCCATTCGAGACGTTGTAGACTTCCAGTCATATTTCATTTTTTCCTCGGAAAACTAGCCGAAGTAATATCTTGAAAACTTGTTTGATTTTTCTTCTCTGTTAGTAAAATATTTGGTATAAATTTCAAGCTGCAAAGTTGACTTGTTTCTCTTCCAACACATGAACACGCTAGCGGAGATTTTGAAACACCGCCGTGGTGATGAACGGTGTCGCTCTTTAGCCATCGATATGGAGACTGCACTGGAAAAGAAGAAAAAAAAAACACACATTGGATCTAGAGTCCAGACTCTTAAAAACATCGACAAGAAAAGTACTTTTGATTCAGTCAGAATCTAGCTTAAATCAAGAACCAAGCCTCTTAATTGAAGCGGATTTCGTTTTGATTCAAGCAAAAATCTGATTGAATCAAGAGTAATTTTTCTTGTCATTGTTTTCAAGAGTCTGGACTCTAGATCCAATGTGTTTTTTTACCCCAGTGTGGAGTCTCTTTTAAGTTAGATTAAGAACTGGGGAATTTATGTCTCTGATCAGCTCTCGTTTCTTTCTCTTTGATTAGCGCCAAAGGCGTCACAAATGGTCAGAAAAAAAAACATTTCCACTGGTCTCAAATATTATAAACTGGAATAAACCTAGGGACTAAGGAAGCGACCGTGAACTGACGGGAACCAGGGTGGAGTGGAGGAAAGGAACTCAGGACAGAGTTGATCAAATATCATAAAAGACTATTCTAACAGTATGATTTTCCTGTCCGTTAGTGGCATCAGACTCCGAAGTGCCTTAACACTCCCTGCAAAAAAGAATAATTTAATGAGTCCGGGACTTGGAAATTACGATGGTCCCGTTTGCACTCAGCTGGATTGGACCGTGTGACGTCAGACGAAAAGCGCCCGAACTCCCGTGACGTCATTTCCCTCCGATCCGGCAGCGGGGCGGGTTCCGCGTTGGGGGTGACGTCACCGTTTCACTCGCACAGGAGCGAGTTAAATATAGCGGCTGCCCCCAGTGCCCAGTCCCCCCGGCTTAATAACCCACCTCGCAACGGCGGCAACGGGCTAACAGGCCTCCCCTCCCGGCACATCCGCATCCGCCCCCCTGCCGGCCCCCTCCCCCCGCCCCCGTCCCCCGGGGTCGTGGCGGTGCCGAATCGGGCGTCTTGCCGAAAAGTCCCGTTTCGGTTCGGCGTGCCGCGCGGTGGTCGGTGGCGGTGGTTCCTCCCGAAAGGAACGAGGAATGTTAACGCGGTGATGCAACGCAACGCGGTGAAAGTTTATTAGCCGCTTTCGGCGATGCACTCGTTAATTTTTACATTTCAGGCGGTGGCTTCGCTTCGGTCGCTCGGCTGCGCAGGCGGAAAACAGGCGTGCGGTTTTTGTTGCTTTTCGGAGAAGTTGAGCTATGCGTAGATGTGGGCTACGAGTTACGCATCGATGGTGAAACTAGATAAACACGTATTTTGGTTTGAGACGTTGCGAGCTTCCTGCCATTCTTTATTTTCGAATAGCTCTCTATTCGATATCACTTGTGCATTTATTTTGCCTGTACGAAAAAGGAACTTTTTAAAATTTAAACGGCTCGTCCTTTCCCGCAAAGTCTTCAGCGGGCTGATTATTGAAATTGATGGACAAAGCTATGTACAAAGAAGACGAAATGGATTTGGAGGGATCCTATTGGTGGAAGCGAGGGGTTGCAATGGACAAAGGAGGTAGATAATAGACTGACTAACGATAACTCATGAGAGACCCTACAGTTAGTCCATCATTTTCTCTCTTAGTCCATAGGAACCACCCGTTTCAACCAATAGGATCGCTCCTTACTCCCTATGTCTTCTTCGTCTATCGCTTTGTCTATCAATTTCAATAATCAGCCCACAGATACCCTGTCGCCACATTTTAATTAATTTTCAAGTTAAGCTGTGTGAAGCTACTTGTAATTTTGAATGGGAAACCTCGTTCCTATGTCGTCTTTGTCTATCGCTTTCTCTATCAATTTTAATAATCAGCCCTCAGATAACCTGTCGCCACAATTTATTTAATTTTCAAGTTAAGCTGTGAAGCTCTATGTAATTTTGAATGGAAAACCTCGTTTCTGAGAACTACAAATGCGATAGAATGAGTAGGTTTCCCACCGTTGGATTCGGTCCAGTGTTGACTGGGACACGTATGCTGCCGGCCGCGTCAGGGTAGAAATTTCAGATTACCTGTCAGAGAAAACTCCTCCGAGGTTTCTAAATTCGAATCATTGGATTAATTCTTCGGGCAGACTCGACAAAAATAGGTGCGGGAAGGCCGTCAGAGCAGCCCTCAGAGCACTGAGCCACGCTACACCTTAAAATGAAATACGAAAGATGAAAAGTGAGATTGTTACGCTCCGGAAACGTGGGGAAGTCTGAGGGGACGTCTCCCCTTTTTTCTTTTCATTGAGTCTGGAAATGGCATATTTTTACCCGGATACCAATTTATTTTAATCAATTTCTTCTGGAGACGTGATCTGGCGATTGCCCTTGAAACTAACTTGCCTTGTTTCACTAGAAATGTCGAGTGAACTCGCAAGGAACTGCCAAGATGCAATAGTTCTCTAAGCAATCTGATCTCTTTGCTCCGTTGTCCAATGGGCCTATTTCCCCCCATAAATGTTTTATTCTAAAATTTGAATTTTAAAAGCTAAAAGTAGTTGTTTTTGAAAGTGAGGGCTCAGAAATGAATGGATCCTTTCCCCCCCCCCTTTTTTCTTTTTTTCTCTCTCTTTTCAATAGAGCTAACTGCACAGTTACACTATACGGTGATGATTGTCACAGGAAGAACCTGGAAGTCAAGAAATTCGTAAATAAAAACCTAAAAAGTTATTTGGACAAATCAGGATGTTTTATGGATGGGCAGAAAAGAGAAATGCTCCATGTGTAAATGTTTTTCAGCGAGATGTTTAATCGGTGAATGTTTCCTCAGTTGGCATTTTGAGAGGGAACAAGCGCAAGATTCACCCCTCAAAAAATAGTCAAAGGATTTCTTATTCCTTTAAATCAGGGGAAAATCAGAAAATTTTTTCGAAATTCTTCAACAATTCATTTTGTAGAAAATAGAGGAAATGTTACTTTTTTCAGTCGCCTTTCTCGAAAAAGAAGAAAAGAGGCCCTAGCTGCCTTCTTATCTCACTGGAGAACCTTTATCCGTAGCTAACTTTATTTTGTGTAATGAGAAAGCTCGGGCTTTCATTGAACAGAGGTATTAATTAAGGACCTGCCAATAAGTGACGAATGAACGGGGGGTAAGTCTGGCTGTCCGGGGAAACTCCACCCTTGAGAAAGCAGCATTTTTTCATGCCGGTTTTATTTTTACTTTCCAGCGACCACGCCCTGCGTCGCAGGATAATTTGTGCCATTCCTCAATGTTGCATCCAGCCCTTTAGCCTTTTAGTCCGCTTATCCCCAGGATTATCCCTTTGGATGCCGATAGTCAACGAATTCATCGCTGGAAAATTTCTGAGCGTTTAAATGAATCGTATTAGTCAATTTTAAAAACAGATGTCAACTCAAATTTTTGAATTACAAAATCTTTTTCACAGATATTCAATTTTTGGCAGGAAAAATTATATTTACTTTTAGGCGAGCTCAAGAACTTCCTTTCATCGATCATTTGAAAATTTCTTTTGGTTCCCTTTCGCGGTAAACTGCTCATAATTTCGTTTCGGTCCTATTTGATGTTTTCATTGGAGTTAATTTCGAAGATATCGAATTAGCCTGAAACAGTGTAAAATGTACACGCTGTGCAGAAAAACTTCCGACTTTAGGAAGATGAGAGCGCATATTTTTGGCAGTTGTGTCAGTTGGCGTAAAATAAAAAAATTTAACATCTTGCCTAAATCTTGGGTCTTGGGTCTATTGATGTAATCATTGATAGAAAAAAACTAATCTAACAGGTTTTTCTTTTTAAAACTCTTACTTTTACTTTCACTTTGTATTTCATGTAAAACGGGGTATTTTTAGCAGGTAGTCTCTTTACAGGGCTGCCACAGTCAGGGAATACCGGGAAATGTCAGGGAATTCTAAAAAGTCAGAGAAATCCTGGAAATGTCAGGGAAATAGACGAAAATGTCAGGGGCAAATCGTCAGACCTATCACCTTCATTTACTTTCTCAATTAGGTTTGACGTTTCGAATGATTTTTGCCTATGAAAACTATTTCTAACTATGTCTTTTCAAAAATCTGGTATTTGTTCAATTGTCAGATAGTTTCACCAAAATCTATCAGGGAAACGTCAGGGAATGTAATTTTCCGAATTCTGAGGCAACCCTGTCTTTAATCCTGACTTATGCCGCAAATTTTGTATCCCTCTGAGGGCAACTCTGAGGAGGAAAATTTTAATTCGTCAATTTATTTGCTGAAATATTTAGTAATGTTGCTTTAATAAGCGATTTTATGATCTGATTGATTGATTTGTTTTTTTGTTTGCTATAGGGCGGACGGAGCTAGGGCGAGGATATGACGACGGACATCTCAATGGTCCGGTGGGACCCGTCCGTCCCCGGACAACAGGACATCCTCGAGGAATACGAGTACGATGGAGGAAATTCCTCATCCAGGCTCTTCGAACGCTCAAGAATCAAAGCTTTAGCAGGTAAGGCTATCAATATCCTCTCTAAAATCCAGTGGTTTGAATCCAGTGTCGCTCCCCCGACAAAGGAACGCATTCAGTGGCGTGGCGTGCTTTGCGATTTATCGATTGATCTGCTATTTAAACCTGTAGAATAGGATCGATTATCAGGATTTCGCAACTAACACCTTAATAATCGATTCTTTACCATAGCTTCAAGTGGGGAAATATCGATATATATCGAAGCACGCCACGCCGCTGGAACGTATCTCCATGCCCTCGTTGCAAATTGAACCGATTATTTTCCAAACCACATAAGCGCCAAAATTGCGAATGCGAGAGAAAAAAAGAAAAACCGTTCTATTCGCTTAGTTGACAAGCTTCGAATTCCAAAAATTGTATGTTCTTTTAAAAGGCTATTTTGGAATCAGACATCATTGATTACTTGAGAGGAAACAAAGAAAAAGCAACCTCTCTACCACCAAAATAGAAGTTGGCACTTACGTGGTTTGGAATATAATCGGTTCAATTCTACCCACTCAAACATTCCTTTACTTTGCACAAATAGTAACAGCACAAAATTCGTCCGAAATTACGCTGGTTTTTCTTTTATGATGACCCATAGAAAATCTGTGCAATTTGCAATGAAAAATTTCCAATAGTTTCCTAGTGAAAAAAAATTGTAAATTGGCCTCGTTGAAATGTATTTACGTTCTTTCGTCCGGGAAACGACGCGTGATCATCGAACCACACCATTTTAACGCCAACTTTGCGTTGCATTTTTTGAGTCCGTATAAGGAACCGGTTAAATGGAAATTATCAGCTCACTTTTAGCAGAAAACTTTCAAACACGCTCAAGAGAAAGTCGCAAGTCGCTCGGTCCATTTCGGTGGCCTTATAGGGCGTAAAAATGCGTTAAAACCGGCAATTTTTAGTTCTGAAATTTTCAGATCAAAACTTTAAATTGCTTTTTGCTTATAACCAGGTTGATATACCCTCGTGCAAAACACTTTTACCCACGTGCGATTTATAGTCTCCGGGTGAGTTATCCCTCCACAAACGTCAAAAACTTTTCCCCGTGAAAAAAAGTGCCTGGCGCTCTGGAATTATTGCCAATAACTCTTCATCCTGGTTTTACCCAGAGAACCTATTTGGAGAAGGAACGGACATTTCGAATATGGAGCTATCAGGGCCCATAAAGGAAGCCAACCTTCTAACACAAAAATTGTCACTGTGAATCCTCAGATTCCAACATCAAACCAAGATGGTCAAGAATGCACATGAATGATCCTTCTTTCTGCAAATTGAGTAGAATGCAAAAACCAAGTCAAATACCTGCTTCTTAAATGACGGGTCGTAACAATCGTAATAATAAATAATTTTGGATAATTTGATTTCATAGGTCGGCTTCCTTTTGGGTCCTCAAAGCTCGATGATCTGACCTCAAAATTACCGACAAGAGTCCGCCCTTTCCCCACATATATAGGTACTTTAGTTCGGTTATGAAGGGCCGTTTGTAACTAAAGATACGAATGTTGGCAATACATAAGAAATGATGTAACATATGAAATATTCAAAATATATATGAAATTTTGAAATATATATACGAAACTGTCGCAATTTATAAGAAATGTGTCAATATTTAGGAAATCGACTCCAAACTACCTATATGGCAAAAATCGTGCAATATATAAGAAATGTGTCAATATATAAGAAATCGACTTCACAGTATATATGGCGAAATTCGTGCGATATACAGGGTAATCCATAAGTCCTTTCCATCCCCTCTAAATTTTTACCTAATTGAGGCAAAGATTTGAAGCTTGGGGGATATTCTTAGGTCAAAGGGAGCTACTTTCTGGCCCCCTAAAATTTTCCGAGGAATCCTTGGGGGGGAGGGGGGATGGAAACCAATTATTTTTTCAATTGAGAAGACCCCTTTTGTTGTACCTTGTTCGAAAGAGCATCAAAAAAGGAAACTTTTCGGGTGAACCAGAAGTCAATATCTCAAACCGTTTCAAAATGGCGTTCGGTTAAAATTCAAGATGGCCGAAAATTGACACCGATTGTTTGTCAATGGATTTGC